CCCAATGCAACAGACTCAAATGGGCAAAAAGTAGATTTCTGAAATAAAATTCTTTTTGCCATACCGTGTAAGTTCATTTCTATGTTATTACTTTAAGAAGTGCATTGAGGCGAACTTTAAACGATTAGGACTAATTGAATGTTGGCTGTTTTCCATCACAGTGCAGATACTGCTGTAGGCTGAAAGTTAGCTCTTTCTCACTTTATGGTTCAGCAACTTGAAACTCTGAATGTGATCTTTGACAAACCCACTCTCTCTCTCATACACACACAAACTCCTTGTTTTCGTATTGGCTTTGATAAAAGGCCCGGGAGGTGGAGAAGGGAATAGCGGAGTGTGTCGGCTGCTGGTGTAGGCTTACTGTGCTAGGAGATGCACTGGGCCATTACATGTGACCCCTGACCCCAGCAGGCACCTTGAGGTGAAATGACACGGGCCTGCTCTTACTCAGCTGGAACAAGAGAGAGGAGTAAGACACAGGGTGAAGATATATGCAAGGTTAGTGTGTATATATGCACATGTTACGGTGCGTTCATACTGATGTGTGAGTACCATTCATGAATCCCTCCCTTTACGAATGCAGGACACCACCAGCTCGTTCCCAGACGCACAGAGAGTGGCTGGCCTGTTATGGGGCTACGTGATGGGTTGGGGGTGGGGGGTTGCTAAATGTAGATTTTAATTACAAACACCTCTTTCTAGTTACCAGTCAGTGAACCTGAAGAGAATTTTCCTGAATTAAAACACACACACGTATATGTATTTTTTCCAAAAATGCAACTGTAACATAGTTTCTGTATTTGAGGACAGTGATTTGCAGTGAAGTGCACATTTTTTGATGATATTCTCAGTAATAGGAATTTTAATTCAGTCAAAATTAAAATATTTATTGAATTTGGTATTTGAGGGTATTTTCTGTACCCTTTTGGATAGCTCACTAAATTCACACATTTTATACACTGTTGAAATATTTTCGGAAGCTACAAAAGAGTAGATTGTCAAATGTGTCAAGCATTGGCTTTTGCTGTTAGCCTCTTACAATTAACAAAAACTTGGAAGAAAAGTATTACATTTCCAGCATCAACGCTATAGCAGGATAAATGCATCCAGTCAAAAATAAATAAATAAATGAAGGAATAAAAACAGACTTCCACTAACACAAATTTTTTCATTGACTGAATAAAAAAGAAACTCTTCTGTTAATATTGTCAGGAACATCACCTTTCCATCAACAGACTCTGATGTCCCTGCGTGTTGTCAGATATGTCTGATATTTTTATATTTTCATAATCTTGTGCCATTATTAAGAATGAAAAACAAAACAAAAACAAATAACAGATCATTTCAGAATGCACCAATGACAGATATATTTCACAGACAGAGAGCACAGACGCAGACATAAGTATAAACTCAGATATAGCACTTGATATTAGGGATTCTTAATTGGTAAGAAGTCCCTTCATCCTTTGCGTCCCCATTGCAGTCACCCATAGTTGTGACAAGTCTGTCTGCATTAACATGGCCCTCCTCCTAACTGTCCACTCAACTGCTCAACAAACGATCACTCAAGCATGGACATCTTACTAATGATGGATTAATGTGCATGTGTGCTTGTGTGTGAGTGCACGCCAATCAAGGTAAATGACCTAATAGCTAACACCAACAGTCTGCCAAGTACAGTAAAAAAATACGGCCATGTGCAAATATTCTCAGTTGATTATCCTTTTCTGAACAAAGAACAACAGGATCAAAAAGACTCTACTGTCTATTATGTTACATATTCATTTAAGTGAATATGTTTTTTACATTTTATCAAACAGTTGCCTCTATTTAGGTATGCATCCATTATTGCATGTGCAACTCAATGATCATGTGGTGACTGAATTGAAATGTATTATACATGGAATTGTGTTTGGGCCTAATGTTTGTATTAGTTGATTCAATTAATTGTATATGTCAAACTTTAAAACATGCATTCAGAGACATTTTAGTGAATTTCTTTGAATCTCTCCTGCTGCGCTCCAAATGAAGAATCAAAATGAAAACAATATTTGATTAGTAAATACTACTGATTGCTGCAATAACCTGGAGAAATCTATCAGATCTCTACACCAAAGATATCATAAACTTATCATCTTGATTACCTCAATAGTCACATCTATTCTCTTTTAAAGGCATCAGAGTGTCCAGATGACAGGAAGAAAACACAGTAAATGAGGAAAAATGAGCTTCTTAATCACCAATAATTTGCATTTACTGAATCCAAAATTTTTTTACAATAACATATTAATCAGCGCTACTGGCTGAAAAAGAAAAAAATAATAACTTCCCTGCATATTTATGATAACAGAAAGCTCACAAATGTTCATTATGCACTTATCAGCATGCAACACACACACACACACACACACACACACACACACACACACCATAACTGCACAGACATTTATAAATCTACACACTCATCATATCAGTGATGAAAGTTCCGTATAGGAGACAAGTTACAAAATAGGTGCTGACATTTATATGTAAATACAAACCAGGGCAAGCCTGTGCCTGCAAGCACCCACATGATCCTTTGTTCATCTGCAGTCAGATACACCCTTTGAAAAACAAAGAGGCCGAGGGGAAAGAGAAAAGGGGGCAGTGCCAAAGTACCCTTTTGCCAAGAGAAGGTGGAGGGGGTCGCAGTAGGCGGTGGTCAGAAGACAGTGAAGAAGGTGAAAGGTCAGCAGTACAAGAGCGTGTTTGTGCGTACGTCGTTCTAACTATTGTTCATTGTGTGTGTATATGTGTGTGCGTTTTATTTCCTAGGGCTTAACATCACTCACTAAGTGATCCCATTTGTGCTTAGTTAACCAATAAAATCACTAATAATCAAAAGCAAATTAAATAGTTATTCCCCAACTTAAAGTTTTACTGAGGCAAACACTTAAGGAAATCTAAGGGGAAATGGCGAGAGGATTGCAGATTACAGACTAAATGTACATACAATAGCCTTTCTGTCTAAGTCAATCAGTGTAAAGGTAGGTTTAAGTGAGTAGGAATTTTCTCACATGGTGTAAATGGCCACGTTACCACATGATTATGAAAGTCATTTGGAGCGGCTCTAAACAACTCGGAACAATTTAGAAAATACTCAAGGACACATGAGGTAATCATTGGAGGGTGCCAACTGGCTTCAACATGACAGTTGCGATTAAAAAGATTTCCACACAACACACTTATGCACTCAGAAAATATACACTTCCTGCACATGTACATATATGAATTCATGCAAATAAACACACATGTGCATATGACACATATGTATATACACACATCTTCGAACTTCTCACACATCACACATCTGATTTGGCTGCCCTGTGGCTGCATACACACACACACACACACACACACACACACACACACACACACACACACACACACACACACACACACACACACGCAGACTTTATCACACACCAACAAAGCCATTATAACCAGCATAAACAAGAATGACAAGTTGAGATTAATGAAGGGCCTGGCAGTGACAGGCCAATTTAACTGTCAACCGTGATGGCTGTTGAACTTCACCAGTGTATTTATACAAGGGTACCTTAGTGCCTTCAAATGTTACTAATTGATCATGACCAATAAGTAATTAGAAAAGCTGATATTGTGTCCTTCTTCCACACGTGTCAAAGGCACACACTGAGGACGCGCGACTAAGAATAATGAATAGAAATGGATAGATTTTAAAATGAAGTGTAGAGGTAGCCAGCTTATTCCTTTTAAAATGTAGCTTCTGTTCAGTGTTTTTTTCTGTTTCAGTGGAAGTACACTGTCTCATAGCCTCTGGCAGTAGACCCATCGCTGTGCTTGTCCTGTTAGACCTCTGTGCAATTGAATTTTAACAGGACGTATCGTTATCAGTACGACTGACCACAATATTTACTACAGTATTTAGAATACCATGTTGATATTCAAGGAAATGTGCTTCAGTGGTTTGAATCACATCTATCTCATAGATTCCAATCTGTGCGTGTAAATAGGGCGTCTTCCTCACACACTTATGTTAGTCATGGAGTTCCACAGGGTTCTGTGCTGGGACCAATAGTTTTTACAGTATACATGCTTCCCTTGGGTAATACTAGTTGAAAAACTGTATATATTTTCATCAGTATCCAAAAAACATCCAGCTGCATTTGTCCATTGAGCCAGACGATACAAATCATCTAGTTAAACTACAGGCATGTCTAAAGACTTAAAGGCCTGGATGACCTCTAACTTCCAATTTCTAAATTCAGACAAAAGCTGTACTTGGTCCTAGAAATCTTACCAATATGGTGTCTAACAAAATATTTACTTTAGATGGCAATACCTTGGATCCAGCCAACACTGCAAGGCATATTGGTGTCAATTATGATCGGTCCTGCAGAACCAACCGATATGTATGACTACACACAATATAATTTAAAAAAAGACTGGTGCTTTGGAACAAAACTAAATGAAAAGGTTTTAATTCTTATCTGTAAAATGTGCCTGTAAAATTTAAAAGGGATGAATGAGCCACTTCCAGTATAAGTGTGTGTGTTTGTACATATATACAAACACAAGGGCTTAGAATCATGGAACTAATGTTTTCATCAGCAACAGTGGTGGCCTTGTGGATGCAATATAATTTGAAATGCTGCAGTTTCTATTTTCAGAAGTTGCCTAAACCCTGAGAGCCTAAAAATAAAGCATGAACCTTAAGGACACTGTCAAAAGAAGAAAAGCGCTGAGTAAAATGCTGATTGACTATTTCTTACATATTACAGACTCATAATAAAGTTAAAAAGTTAATTCTTAGGTAACAGTTTTGCACACAGGTAATAAAGTAGGTTATCTACAAACCAATGACCTTTTTTAACTACATATCAAAATATTAAAACATCTCTGGTTTCATTTTATCTGCTTTTCTTGATATATTTAACTTCACTTGAAAAAAAACAAAACTCCCTTATCTATCATCTTACCTCTCACTGATACTCTTTGCCAGCACTGGTCCAGTCCCAGCCCAGTTCCCTGCAGAATTTATTGGGTTATTCTAACCACTGAGAGAGCTGACAGTGGCCTTGGCCCCCTGGCTTGACTTCACATCCTCCATTGGCAGCTCAAGGCCTGGCTCACTGAAAAGGAATGTGTGAGAGAAATATAGTGTAAATATATGGGGTCTAACAGTGACACCACTCTCAGAGGAGACCCTGGTGTTATAAAGAGAATAAAAAGAATATATCTTGGCAGCTGGAGAGAAAGCTGATGATTTTAGACACCTGTTACATTTGTATGATGGATTTTACCCGTAATTTGTGCCAGATATAAATATTTGAAACAAATTCAATCTACTCCTGCCATTCATTAACACATACTGTCAAGTTATATCAGGTCAACACATCAATTGATCACACAATTTTACATGCAGTTAAATGTTAAATATGCTAGAAATCTGCACATATATGCATGATGTTTTTATAAAATAGTTTTGAAGACAGTCTCAGCATGCAAAAAAGAACACACATTTCCAAATTAGCAACTTTTTTCCAGGTTCCTGCTTCAGTGCATTTCCGGAAATAACTGGAATACATAGCAAACAACAAGCTCTTCAGCCTGAATTATTATTTTTGCATGTTTTCTTTGAACACTTAATGACATTCAGGAAAATTGTTTACAGCTTAATCTGCTAAAAGTGATAAAAGGAACCCTGTATAAGTTTACACAAGTAAATACCACACGGCATGGGTCTGTATTTCCACAATGACAGTATAAAAGTATAAAGTATAAAAGTGTGAAAATGCTGTATTGGTCAGTTGTGGAGTTTGCTGTTATTTTGGACATGGTGAATGCCCAGAACTCAAGAGAGGCAAGCGAAAGAAAGGTCTAGGCATCTCTGTCAACGACCAGCCCCCACAACCCAAGATAGGATAAGTGGTAGAAAAATTAAGAATGAGTGGATGTACAAAGAAATACAATCAAGCAAATGTAAATTAAAGGGAAAGAATAACAAATGACAAACATAAACATACTGTTTGCTTGATCTGAGAGAAATAAATCTTTGGTTGCTACTTTAGTTTTTTTGTTCTCTAGGCAATACGGTGATATATTATTGACAAGAAAATACTTTAGATTTTTGGGTTAGATCTTAAATATGTTAAGAGCTGAGCCATGAATGAAATGTGCTTGGGAAGTTTCCTTTTTTGGCCATTCTCTTGCATGTTTGAGGAGGCTGAAAAAACTCAGGAATTGTTTGATTTAAAAAAAAGAAAAAGACAAAGGATGTAAGATAATGATTCCCTAAAAAGGCACAAAGTAAAATACAAGCCTTTTGTAATCTGGAACAGTACAAGTTAACTTCTCTGCAAAACAGTTTAAAAAGTACAGTGATGATTTTGTGCTTATCTGTTAATAAATGCATTCAGACTTGTGCTAGGATATGTTCAAATGTCATCAGATGAATGGAAAGGAGTGCATTTCTAAAACAGGCAAGAGTGAAAAAACAAAAGTTTTCTACTACACTACACTACACAAACACTCAAGTAGACCCCAAAAAACACACTTAAGTTGCGATGTCACCTCTGGATGCTATCAGAGCAGATTAATTAAAGTGTCAACAAATTTCTTTCTAAACAGCTGATACGCATCACCTAAATATATCACTCGGTAAAAAAATCTTTGCCAATAGGTGCCGTCTCAGTTGGCATCTACAGCTATCCCAGCAGCAAATGCACAGCACTTACTTTGGCATTCACTGCTAAAAATATGTGCCTGCCTTTTTTCCCAAGTTGTCTTGGGGATCGCTGTTAGTGTAAAGGCTAATGACATCTAGCAGGTTGGGTGTGTTCGCCTCTAGATATCAGTGTGTGTGGAGGGGTAAAAGGTGTTCACCCTTTATTTGCTGAGTGGATACGAACCTCTGCAGACACCTAGGCTGAGAAGGGAGGGTGCGACCTCACCCCTGACATAGGAGTTGGCACCTGTCACACACATTGACACTCACACATGCAGTACAAACACACAAAGACATGCATGTGTAAATGTACAAAGGCAACATTCAAAACACACACACAAACAGACACACACGTAACACATCCTCTCAAACACTGTCTGCCACCTCCAGCTCTCCTGTTGGCAGCAGGCTGGTGAGCACAGTGGGCACTGCCAGATAAGAGGATATAGACAGGCTATGTTTCAAGGTAAGGTGTGTAACAACAGAGGAAATCAGGGAGCTGATTAAAGTCTCATAAGGTAAATAAAACATTAGGACATCCATTATGAGATACCACTGTAATTAGTGCATGTCTGTACAGGAATGCACAGTAAAAATAGCTGCAAAGCATTACTGTAAAGAGAAGTGCACAATGGAGGAAGGTCTGAGTTCAGTCACAGAGAGGGATCCAAAATAGCAAAAATGTGGAAAAAAAAAGGAAAATTAACTATCATCTATCAAACCTCTGTAAGTTGCAGTCATCCAAAGTAAACACTGTGGAGAATCTAGAATTTTACAAATCATTCATCAGGGTCAGAGAAGTTAGTACGGGTCCAAGGTTTGCACAATTTAATTTGACTTTAGCGGTAAAAAGAGCAAATCTAGACAGCGAGGACTTGCCCAGAATTACACATTTAATGATTTCTTGCGCTGTGGACACATCTTAATGCATTTAATAATATGTTTCACAATTTTGCTCATTGCTGTTAGTGCTTCCTTTTCCTTTCAGTTGTATCATCAGTCTCATTTAGCTGAGGAAAAGTAGCACAGACTGAGAAGTGAAAAGTGAAAAAGATAGATGAGCCAAAACTCAATTCAGTCTCTGTAGCTCTCTCTTGATGGTCCAAAATAAGCACTTGACCAAAGCTAACATCATAGACTAGGGCGATATTTATGGTGCAGATAAAATATTTATATAGTGACTCATAAAGTCTAGTTCTGGAAAACAGCTGTATGGGTATTAGACACTAAAATTTTGGCAATTAAAATACTGCTGTTGCAGGATATGCTATTATAGATGGTATGCTGTAACTATTTTTAAAAAAAGGGCTTAACTCAACATCTAAACTATACTGTCTATTATTATTATACTATTTTTGTACATTTGTACCTGTATGTTTTTAGCATGAACAGTGTAAATAATAATTACAAACAATTTTTCCCAACACATCATTTGTGTTTCTTTAAGTCATTTTTATTTAAGTAAGTGATTTGATGTCACCTGAGCAGATAATAGAGAATAAGCAATACTGTGCACTGGAGGCAGTGGATAAAGCACATTACAAAGACTATATGAGGACATGTTACACCTAAGATTATTGGCATAATGTTGGGGGAAAATTATCAAACAAATTAAAAAAAAAAGTTCATTCACAGATGTAAATGCCAAACTCCCTTAAATCCTTTCTCAGCCTGGACTGAAACTGAAAGAGCATTAAAAAGCACTGACAAAAAGAATGTGAGAACTAAGAAAGATATCTTTTCTTCCCTAGTTCTCTAATACTGAACAGCATCCCTGCTTTAAAATTTGATCTTTAGTGAATAATGGATCGTGGCACTATCAAATACAGAGAGGTAGATCAACCTTGGTATCCCAGACTAAACATTGGCCTAGATGCAGGAGTCAGTTATGTCTATTCTGGTCTATTGTTTCATGATGTTGAATGAGCAGCTAATTAGAGATAAATAAAACATGGCAAGCTATCTGTGGCTGTAGAGCTCGTGTTTGGTGTCGAATGGTAGATCAAAGACACAGTAAGGTCCAGATTGAAGTAAATAATGGATTAAACTTTAAAAGCATTGCTTCTAGTGGTCATAGATATCCTGCTACATGTCTAGCCTTTGTTAATGCTTGTTAGCATGTCAAAGTTACATGTACCCTGTTCAGACTGTTTAAAAAAAGAAGTTTGCTGACACTGACTTGATCATGATTATAGTAAGGCCCATTACTTCCAGTTAGGTGAAACTGAATGCAATGCAATTATGTGACACTTTGTTTGTGCACTACTCTCTGTGGTTTCAAAATCCAAAAACCAAAGTAAACAAAGATACAAAAAGAAATATCTTGATTAGGGTGTGCAAAAAACTCGATGGCATGATATCGGTGCCATATGACAGCTCTGGGAGTGACTGATATGCCATGTGAGCCAGGCCTCATCATCCAACAGCAATGACCTCAGTAGTGCTATAATGGCTAAATGGAAGAAAATCACTGCAGGCAAATTCTAACAGTGGGTGCCATTAACGTTTGGCCATGTAGCCTATTTAAAGTTAGACACTATAAAAGCTGGCATAGATAACATGAATATTGCCACTGTTATTAACATTATTTTAAATAGCTCAAGATAGGAAAAAAAAAGATCATTTAGACTGGGTTAATATAGCAAATTGCTTTTGGATGGAAGCTTTAGATTTTCAAAAGATCTAAAATGTATTTACATTATTTATGCCTTTTAAATTGGCATGCATTGAGTGCTTGCATTAAAGTCTTCTTTAAAGGATGTCAGTGTATAATATCACCAGTTATCTGTAGCACTGATTCATAGACAGGCCTCATTTTGCCCTCTACTTTCAGATGCAGCACAAAATGAGACAAAATACCACCAAGATCCAGAGGGGCGTTATGGAAATAGAGCAAGAATCAGGTCGTGTTTGATATTATGCACAATATGTACAGAGGGACGGTGACAAAAAAGAGAGCATTAATGCAACCATTAAGACACTTTTCCCTAGTCTTATTCATTAAACATACAACGTTCTGACACTCTCAGTGCTTCCTCCCCTTGAGATGAAATTCTAATGTGATATTAAGAAAACTAGGGCGATAGCAGCTTATTACCATGAAGCTGAAGGAGGCAGGCTGCCATGTCCTCTGTATGTAAACATGAACAGAGGAGAAAACATTAAGTTGGACTTTGTCACAGCAAGTGCTGAGAGTACAGCTCTCAGGAGTGCAGCAGTGTTTTGGATCAGTATTGACACAGCTTGCAAGTGTGTACAAACGGGGGTTGTAATTGCAGCTTTAGTCTTGAGTGAGAATCAACTCTCAAGAAGGCCTCATGGTACATTAAGCAAAGAGAGTGAGGCAAGGGCATCCATCTGGTTAACATGTATAATGTCAGCTCTAGAAATAAAAACTGCACATAG